TATATATATATATATATATATATATATATATATATATATATATATATATATATATATATATATATATATATATATATATATATATATATATATATATATATATATATATATATATATGTATATATTTGAGAACAATATGGACAGTAAAGGAGTCTGTGACTCGCAATATCGACAAAGGATTTAGCCCAGAAACTAACAATGAAATCACAATTCAAGTTCTGTAAAGCAGATGGCAACCTTGAAGTTAATACATGCACTAACTGGTCATCGGCAGTTGACAGTGTCTGACTGAGAATAATCATGACTTTTTTACACCTATATCTTTCTCGACAATTGACATCCGTCGCTCTACAGCTGTTCAGCATTTTAACCAAACTGGAGGTGAAAAGAATTCAACAGGTAGGTGTCTATAAAGTGAATGAGAATCAAGAAAGGCATCATTTTGAAATGTCGTATTCTCTAATTTTAGGAAACAACGAACCATTTCTCTATCGAATTGTAGCGTACAATGGAAATGGATTTTATATGATAACCGACGAGAACATCTCAACAGTTGGACGGAGAAGAAGCTCCAAACCGTTTCACAAGCAGAACTAGCGCCAAAAAAGGTCATGGTGACTGTTTCTTGGTCTTACTGCCATGGCGGTTTTCTGAATCCCAACAAAACCATTACACCTGCGAAGTATGTTCAGCAAATCGATGATACACCGAGAACTGCAACGGTTTTAGCCGGCACTGATCAACAGAAAGGTTCAATTCTTCATCACGAGAACACTAGTACAGACATCAAATAACCAATGATTCATTCAGAAGTAGTGATTTGGGTTACGAAGTTTCGCCTTATCCGTCATGCTCATCTAACTTCTCGGCATCAGAATACCATTTCTTCAAGCATCTTGACAAGTTTTTCCGGGGAAAATGCTTTCCAAGAGTCCATCGAATCTTGAAGTATGGATTTCTAAGCTACAGAAATATACAAAGTTGCTTCGCGTTGACAAGAGTGTGCTGACTGTTACGGTTTTCCTTTCGAATAATAAACGTATGCCGAAACCTAGTTATAATTTAAAATTTAAACTCAAAAAGAGTATTTTGCACCAACCTAATAGTAGGAAGCGATATATCCATTAAATCAGTATTTGCCATTACGAAAAAAAAAATCACAAAACTCACATTTGACGTACTGTCCTTTCTCCTCGTATCTGCAGCTGGATTGGGAGAATGTGCCACAGCTGCATGTGCTGCAGTAGTTTCACAACAAGCAATCATTGGAGGTGATGGAGATGGAGTTACCGAAGGACTATATGATGTACTGCCACCTGTTCGAAATTCAAATTAAGCAAAATAAATTTAAATGACTCTGTTATACAAACTAGTAATTCCAGCTTGCAAGGCAGAAAGTATGAATGCCGGATGATAGCTCAAAAATTATAAAACGTCAAAACCCTGATAGTTATGACATCCCTCTTCCCAAACCCTGATGCAACTAGACGGTAACAAATGACACCTCTCTATCGAACGACATTTTAATTTTAATCTGAATTGATATTACCTAACAAGTTTTGATTCCTACTTTCTTGTCTTTTGATTCCTACTTCCTTGTCTCCTGCCCCTCGCATTTCTACTCCAAAATTATGTCTCAATCGTCTCATTAAAATAATCGAGTATATGAACTGATTCAGCACAACAGACTTTCCATTTAACACAGCTCTCTATGCTAAGCCGAGAGTCATTTCCTTAAACCTATCCGGTGGCCAGGCTACCGGTGGAATTCAGTAAAACGCCGACATTATTTTCGACTTTACTAGCTAGAAATAAAGAAACAGACCATTTTCAGAATCTGGTAGAGAGTTTGCACCCCCTAAACCAGCCAATGCATCTTTCTGCCGATTTGCTAATATGCTAAATTGTTGCTTCAGTAATTCACTGAACTGCTGATGCATTTTTTTATCGGCTAAGCCACCAGTAATTTCATTATTTGCAAATGTACCACGTAATGCTTTTTCTGCTATCTGCGCGAATAAATGATCGTTAGGGAGCTGAAAAAAAAAGGAACCAAATTTATTATAATAAAACATGAACAGCGAGACGCTTGTCTGGAAACTCAAGTAATAAAAAGAAATACGGTAAATGTTTAAAATTTAGAATTTAAAACCAAAACAATGTTCAAAATACTGCCAATTTTAGGAACGACAAACAGTTCAAAACGCAGCTCCCTATTACCAGAACTGTTTGTGTAGTTTTCGTGCGGCACATTCGCTGAAGATGGGATCATACTTTGTATAAAAACAATTTTTCACGACTGTTTTAAAAATGGTTCCATATTATAGCAACTTCGATATATTTTTTCGTCAAATTTATCTACTTAATTCATAGAAAAATTCATAAACAAACCGCATTAGACTGTGCAGCCATAGCAGCCATCCCGGCAATCATACCCCGCAATTCATCTGGATTTATCGCATTTTGATAATTATAATGTGCAAGCAAATGAGCTGGTATGCTTGCATTTGTTGAAACATTATGTGTTCCAGATACGGGATGAGAATCATGCGTACACTGCGGATGCATTCCTGCCGTTGTGACTGCTGTCGTTGATGTTGATATTGTAGTTCCATCTGAGCATCCTATCTTTTCATCTAGATCGACTGCCAAGTTGTTCAACGATTTCTCAGCACATTCAACTTTTGGTTGTACGATAGCGGTCGCCTTTTTACTCACTGTTCGTCGTGCAACCTCAAACTTCTTCGTGAACAATAATTCGAGTCGACAAAAGTAATGTAAAAATGTTATTGCGACCAGAAGAAAAACACAAAAATAAAAAGTTGGAACAGAAGTGATGTGAACTCAAAAAACTATTAAAGAAATTATACAATACTGAATACGAGAATACGTGAATTACCATTGCCTACTCTTTACGACCCTTACATCTGCTCGCTTCAAATAAATACCTTTTTCAAACGACTATTTTGTAATGCAAGTGGTTTTCCCAGAAGAGGTGTGCGCGTCACAACAGGCGCATCATGCCAATTCAAAAGTGTTTCTGCCACGCGCGTATGTCCATTCCGTGATGCTTCGATCATACAAGTCATACCATCCTTTAAAATAAATGACTAAAAATTTATTCATCAATTTCTGATAACTCTATAAATCGAATAATTCATTAAATTTCTTTGCTCCCAGAATCTGCATCATAGACCAACTTTAAACACATGAGACGGATCAGCTCCATGATCCAGCAATAATCGCACAATTTCCCAATGACCATGAGCACACGCTAGGAATAATGCACTGGCATCATTGTCTGTGGAAACCTCGTTTACCTGCAATCATATGTACTTTTATCCAAAATTCTGCGTTGTTATATGTAGTATAATTGAAAGTACATATTTTTACATAAACAAAACAATTCTAAGATTCCAAGTCAACAGCTCAAAATTCAAAAAACCCTCAAGGCAAAAATCCTCATAAATCAAATTTTCTCCAAGTCGTCCATACCTACAAAAATTTAGTGTTATTTAGAAAATTAGTGCTATGCATACTCAACCTTTGCTCCTCGCATTAGGAGAAATTGGATCACACTGTAATTCCCATTCTTTGCTGCTTTCATTAAGGCTGTACGTCCATTTTCCGCTTGATGATCCTGAACAGAAAAGATAGAATCATAAAAGTTTTAGAATAAAATACTATCAATGTTACTGAAAACAAAATTTTCATGCTCAAACAATCACTGAAAAATCATGATAACCCAGTAATTAGAAGAAAAATATGGTGAACAGGAAAGCCAAACTGTTAGAACAAGGATGGACTGTGATATGGCAAAAAAACAAAAAGTCGTTCTTCCCAGAAATGAAGTTTATTCACCTCAAATTTCTGTCCAGAAGAGCTAGTTTCTGTAAGATATTAAAAGCAGTTTCTGCTGAAGATACTGTTATTGGATAAAGAAAACTGTGAAAGGTTAACAATTAAAAATGTTGTTTAGAAAGGATTTAAAATATTACAATATTGGCACCAAATTCGATTAATACAGCACACACATCCAAATGACCGTTTTCTGCAGCATAAGTTAACGCCGTATTGCTGTTTGCTGTTGTTGTGGCATCGATCTTAATTGAATGTTTGAATAGGATTAGTATACATAAATGAATAAACAAACAAATGTATAAATAAGTAAATAAATATGTATACATATATACACATACATATACAGGTATGTTTCAAATTAAACTTTTCAAAAATTCTAAACAAAAGATTTATGATCAAAAGCTTACTGGCAAGCCAAGTGAACGCATTTCATTAAGGATGAACCTAACGGTGTCAAGATGTCCCTCCTGAGCAGCTTCCATTAACGGTGTATTAGCGCCGATATCCAGACGCGCACCACTTCGCACCAACAATTCCGCAACATCTCTGAAAAGCAGTCTATTGATTTACCCATACAAATTTACCCATATAAATTGCTGTAATAAATTAAATTTTTTTCGTTTTCGTGAAACAAATTAGGCATGAAGCATAACTTAAACCAAAACATGCTATTTCCCCTACATTTAAGAAAGTGTAGCCCCGTACTTTAATTATATTACAAAGATTTAAGCTGATACAGTTCTCTGGAAGCCCACGTTTTCTATCAACAGATATCCATCTCTAAGAAAATTCAAAAAGAAAAAACAAGTCCGGAAAACTTGTTTTTACGGTCAATGAATAACTGAAAAAAGTAATTACTTGAAGCCACCACAAGCTGCCAGTGTCAAAGCAGTTTCACCAGTTTCATCAGTCTGTATATTGACTTTTGCACCGAATTTGATCAACAACCTAACAACTTCCTAAAAATGAAAACTATGCAAAATCCAGCTAAGTCTGTATGAAATATACATTAAAACATACTAAATGCCCTTCTCGGCTTGCTTCCATCAGAGGTGTGTAACCCTCATCATTTACTTCTTCCACGATAGCACCTCTTTCCAATAAGAGTCGCACCTGGAAATGTGTAATAAAAAGGAGTGAATTCTTCGGCTGATCATCAGAAATGAAATTAACTGCTACTGGATCCTAAATCTCCGAAGTACAGAAAAACTAGAAAGTTGCTTAGGAGGTAAATCACATGTAAGCCATATTAATCCACAAATCCCACTGTAAAAAAAATTCTGAATGGAGTATATTAATAACTGACCAAATCAGGATGTCCGCCGCAAGCAGCTAAAGTTAACGGACTCTCAAATGAGTCCGATGCCAAATTTACTGGAGCACCATTATCTAATAGCAACTTTGCCACTTCATAGTGACCATCCATTGATGCTTCCATAAGAGCGGTATGTAACTCTTCTTTATATTTGTTGGCACCTTTTTCCAGCAAGTACTGAACTACATCATAATGACCTTTATAAGCTGCTAAGGTCAAAGCCGATTCCTGAATTGTATGACTGGTAAAGCTCTGTTTCATGGACTTTCAATAAATGCTAAATTATTAGACGTAGATGTCACGACTCGGAAAATCCTGGCGATTCACGAAAAAAGCAACGCAATGAACCGTACAACGCTGCTATCGGAGCAAAAAAAGACACTTAGTTGACAACTTAACAAAAAAGAAAAAGTCATATCACAATTCCATACTAACGTATCTTATCAAACTGTATGTTTCTTCGCTTTTAATTGTTTTCATTTAGGAGTTCCATATTGCACTTACCAATCCAACTTTCAAGTCACTCTGATTACATGGCAACACTTGAAATCCATGCTGAACAAGAAGGGAAACAACGTCTAGATAACCTTAAAAATGTTTATACATTCGCACGCTTTTCGGAAACTTTCAAAAATTTAAAGTTACACAGATACCGCAAAAATCCAGTAAAGTATATTTCTGATAGTAACGCAAGTACATGTTGATTACGAAAATCAAAGGTTTCAAAATCTATCACATATCTACAATTCATTCTCTCATTAGATGACTGTGGGTGTCAATGATAAAGAGTGAAAAAAATCAAAAAAGCTCTTACCAGAACTAGCTGCTTCCATGAGGGCGCAGTGTCCATTATCATTCCGTATCGTGATATCACAACCGTAATCCAGTAGTAAGCTCGCACACTAAAATAAAAAGTCATAATATATATCAGACGATACATAACACAATGTACATCACGACTATTAATTCTCATTTCGTCAAATCATCATTGTAGTCTTTGTAAAGCCAGTGATATCAAACCTGATCTCTTTTTACTTTTCAGATTAAAACGAAATATCCCTACCTCTACGTTACCAGCAGCTGATGCGTAAATCAGTGGAGTATTTTTGGTTGCACTCACAGCATTCATGTCAGCACCATGTTCCAGCAAATGTTTGACGATATCACTGTGTCCTGAAACGCAAAACTGATTGAGTTGATCATTCCCCTAATCTCTGTTACTGATCACATCCCTTGAATAAGACCTTCCTACTGCAAGGCGTAATCCCTATCCATATAACTCATCCGAAGGGCAAACAATGAGGATAAAGATACCTGCACAACAAGCTTCCATCAACGGTGTACGATCATTATTTGTACTAATGTAATTCGGGTTTCCTCGGATTTCAACCAGTTCTTTAGTCAGATCTAAGTACTGCAAAAAAGAAATAACTTGATATGCAATTTAAAAAACCGTCCAAATACCGCTATCATAAAAAGAAAACCAGAAATTTATAACCACCTGCTGACCAGGTCAACATTAATGTTATGTATATCATGTAACTACAGAAGTAAGTTTGGCCCGAGGTATGGCGATTTTCCTTTGAATTAAGTGACAAGCATCGTTACCCCAGCAGAGACAGCGAGGTTTAATAACATGTCGCCATTATCTTCCGATTCATCCTCGCTGAGATTCAGCTCCAATGACTCATCATCTGTAGAATCGGGGCCTCCATTTGTAGTTACAGGATCCTGAGAACTTGCCATTAGACTTTCTATTGTTCGTGTAGGAGGCCGACGTAACGTAGCGGCAGCAAAGGCAGATAAAGCAGCAGCCGCAATCTAAAATTTGTAATACCTGACTGTAGCGCGAATAGGTCCTACTTTTGGCCAGTGTCAATACATATCACCATAATTTTTTGTTAATAAAAACCTGCTAGTCATGCAGTGCACTAATACATTTAGCATACTGAAGAGAAAAAGCTCAAAATATTTCATAATTTGAAGCTATATTCGGAAATTCAAGAAAACGAACATCAGGCGTGATAAGACTCGCAGCTGCAAGATCTTCTTTTAGACCAAGTAAGTCCTCTTCCAATGATGGGAACTGTCGCAAAGACTCGACAGCATCGTCCAATATGCCCGAACGAGAAAGGGTTTTCAGCGCCTGAGAAATGTATAATGGAAAGAAAAAAAGAGGGGACGAGAATCAAGGGGGAGGATGGAAAGTAAGGAGATTGATCATACCATTATACCAGTTATATTTTATTTCGAATTAATTACTCTGTTTTCTAAAGCAGTAAAATAAGCTGAAAAACTGTAATAAAAACCTCCGCATCTTCTGAAGTGAATGGAATTTGCTGACTCGGAGGCAACTGCGTATTCTGAAGGGCCGTTGCAATATCATAGGCTTTCTCAACTTGTGCACTATCAATACACAAATCCTCCTTTATTCCACCAACACACGCTGTAGCACCAAATTTGGCACAAAATCCAGGGAACTGTTGGGCAGCACTCATTGTAAGCCACTGGAAAGCGAAAAGTACAGACCATCAAACTGCTTTTATTCCCAACAAAAATTAGATTTACAAGTGTAAAAAAAGTCTTCAAGATCAAATAACAAATCTGTTAAGAATTCGGTCAGTGTTCTGGAATAGAAGCAGTAGTAAAACAGATCCAAATTTCCCATGGGATAAGTACGGGAAATATTCGATATAACCATAAGCTACCGCACAATCGACTGTTATAGATAACGCAAATGGAATAACGGACATGGCATCCTGCTTATGTTTACAATTCTAACATAACGATTAACTATTCCTATATGTTGATCTTATGCAGCCACATATTTTAAATATGCTATTATAAGCATACCCGAGCACACCCCTCTCAGGCATAGACAACAGTTAAACATAACCGCTTCATGTGCAACATATCACATCCGAAGAAATCTGCAGAAGGGTCATTTTGGTTCTCTTGCATATTACTTGATGTGACATCCAACGGCAATCGGTAAAACGAAAAAAAGACTTCCATCGTGACCATATCATCACGGTTATGACGATACCAGTCATGTTATTCAAAAACAAACGCGACTTCAAAACAAAGTAACTGAAATACTTTTAAAATAACCTTATGTAGCGAGGCCGAGGCAGCTATTCCAGCGGAATAAAGCTGTTGAAAAAGCTGCTTTTGTTCTTGTATTTCCATATCAGCTACATTCGGCAATAATGGTAGGAAAGGTTTCAGTTCATCTATAATAGGAAAGGTTTCAGTTTATTTGTAATACTGGCAAATTTTCCAATTTTATTGAACTAGCCGACCGACAAGCCAATTAATATAACAAGTCTTATTTAATATAACTTACAAAGCCATTTCTGCCCAAATATATTTCGACTAAATCGTTAAGAATCACTGCAGAGAATATGGTGTAAAGATATCTTAGAATCAAACGATCACTTACTCATGATTCGCACACGGTTCGATCTTTTTGAATTCAAAATGCGCATTTTTGACGGAGCACTTGTGCCTGCAGATGGGGTTTTTTCACTTTTCTGAAAATCATAGATTGCATGAGATCAACTACATGGAATAAAAATAGAAAAGGGATTGCAAAAGCGAGGAAAAAGAAACGAAGGAATGTAAGAGATCGGGAAAATAGTTTTTTCTGCGGCTCAACATTCTCAATGGTTCTTCTTAATATTTTCCGGATAAAAAAAAATCAGTGTTTTCACTTGAATCTCGCCATCGGTTCTAATTTGACATTATTATTTCGATTATTTTATGGGCGTATATCGATGAAAGAGCAAGTCCATAGCTATTTTTCATATCCCATAGTAAACTGTTCATAGCTTAATTTTTAAGATTGACTGTGCAAGTGAGCAGATATTTGCAGCTCAATGCAAGATATACTTTTCTAAAGTGACAAGACCACCCGCTTGTCTTATATATTCGGAAAAAATACCACACCTTAGTAGATGAGTCTGTTAATCGTACGTTATCCGAGTCCATCAAGGCAAGTAAACGCGACCTGCAATATTTAAATAAGATATGAAGAGAATCAAATTATGATATCCGACAACAACGCCTATATTTTCGAAAAAGATGGATGTAACCGACTTGGTTAAAAAGCCATAGCCAACTTAAAGATATCTAAGATGGTATCCGTTTAACAGTTACACATAAATTGCTTATTTATGTAAAACAAAATATAAATGGAGAAATCGAATCAAAAACTTCAGAATATATGAATTCAGGAAATCATCTAATAATTCATGCAGCACCACCGGCTACTCGTACAAATTATTTAGGCCATTGACACCAGAACGAAATTTGTAGTTCGATGAAAATTAACCATCAAATAAAAAGAAAATCCTCCCATGTTCCCATGTTATTGAAGAGGCTTCAGGAAACATATGCAGAACATCCCTTAATCCATCTATATCTTCCAGAAAGGAATATTAACGAGGATAAAGTTATAGAGAAGTGTAGTGGGCATTCCTATAATTAAAGCGATGGAAAGTACAGTTAAAGTATAGGTCAAAATGACTATGTAAATAAGCACACCCTTCACTAAAAGGTTAATTAGATGACACTCCTACTTACTTCTGCACATAAAGCACATGTATCTGAACATGTAAACACACACATCCACACATACACCTTCATCACCTAATTTCATCCTGTCATTTCGTTACTATCCGGCAATGAAGCTGCAACACATTGCATCGGGTACGGTAGCCGAGGGGACGCGCAATCATGAAAAACATGCCGGCATCGGTTTCCGGAATTGTTTCCGCTCACCTGGTCACGAATTTTGGGTGTTTCGGCCTTCTGTTATGGCTTTAGTCCGGTTTCTTCTTACCAGTTATGCACTCTACACTAAATATGTTTAATGTATGGGTTCGATTGAATTGTATGGATAAGAAATAACGCAACAAGCTGATGGACAAATGATTTTAGTTGTGGTTATTTCATGATGACTACAGGAAAAAAAAGTGTATCATAGAACGACTGTTTGCAAAAAAGAAAAACTTTCAGCGGAAAAAAAACCTTTTTTTCAAGGTGACCACAAAAAAAGGTCTAAATAGAAAACAAAGCTTACATTGTAACTTATGCATTAGTATATGTATTTTTGTATTCTGAGATATTCCATATTTGGAACTGAATACATTGAGAATAATTTTGTCAAAATTTTCCACTCTTCACACCTTATCGTTGCAGCATCATCAACATCACCGATTCCTGTTTAACTTACAGGAAGTGTCGAGAAATGATTTGAAAAGTTCCTAATTAGGAAAGTTCTGCCTTCAATTTCAATGAGTTTAATCTGTCAAGTTCCATCGTGATAGTTGCATTTCAGTAACTTCGTTATGTCACAGCCGGAAGAAATAGCCACCTGTTTCTTGAATCACATCGTTAGAAAATAATTCTCAAATTGGTTTAAATTGCCCGAAGCGTATGGAGTGAACCGATGCGTAATACTTAGGCGTTAAATGATACAAAACGATGATACATCGCTTTCGATGGCGTACACCCTTTAAAGAAGATCATAAATCTAAAGTTCGTTATTCACGGTCCAAAATTCGTGCAGATTCTGCAGATAGCAAAAAATATCATTTTGAGAATGGTTAAATAAGACCGGATAAAAAAAAGAAAAAAAAATGAAAGACCGGATTTGCAATGTACAAACGCAAAAGCCAAAAGTCAAAAAATTAAGTAATAAGAAAAATTTATCCTATCATTTGATGGAAAATTGAAGCAGTTTAGTAATTAGTACTGCCTTATTAACCTGTTTGGTAGTACACGGAGTAAGCTACTCGCTCAACAGGATACGTAACGTTCGAACATTAGTTCTTATACTTCGTTTCTTTTTTACGGTATACGAATTGTAATGAAAATAAAATTAGACGAATTAAAATTGGTAATTTCGAGATATTTTATGCTGTCATTTTAATCATTTATGAAACGAATTATATGATCTTTGTACATCTTAAATTTTTTTACAGAAGGAAAAAAAAGTTTTCGAATATTTTTTTTCTCTTTTATTTCAAAATCAAAATTGGTAGGATTGAATAAATTAAATTTTTATTCATCTTTTTAACAGGTTTACTTTATTTCAAGAAAAGCCCGTAAAATATGTATTCTCATTTATTCTTTCATTATTATAAGCTATGGCTTACACTGTAACCGAAGTTGAAATTGTTGAAGTGAGAAGAGTGAGGTTGGAAATATTCAAATTTCTCTAATCTAGAAAAAGAGATTCTTAAAAATTCGTTGCATAACGATCACTTTTTCACTACATCAATTTTTGCAAAGTGAAAATCTGAACTGCTTTGGACCATATCTGCAAGCAATGTTAAGTGTTTTTTTTTTTTAGTCATTCATTATCAATATATGGTGTTGCACATCGCTTGACAACGATGCACGAGTATGTGCTTTGAATGCTGTCCAAGGGTTGATGAATCCGTTGGCATTAATGGATCGTTAGGACAGACTTTTAACAGTAAAGATAATTCATGAAAGACAATTAGTTCATAACAGATTGAATTCACAAAACATACAATTCTGTTTTTCATAGTTGCAATCTACAATTTATTCAAATGAGAGGGTGCATAGAAATAAATCCTGTAGTTTACCAAGTTCAAATTTTCGTTTTTAATTGCGATACAAAATCAGATCACTAAAACAAGTCTAAAACACCTCGCCACCAACATCATCACCAATTAGTACAAGACCGTCTGAGCTAAAAGTTTCGACTCATTGATTCATTTGTTCACATTCATAAAATCCTAGGATCTAATTTTAAGGGAAATGTAATTTTCGTATCATCACAAATGGTTTGTTTTGAATGATTGGCTCATCTCTTGCAGTCAAATAAAAAATAGAACTGTTCGATTTTTAGTTTATATTGAATACTTTTAAATTATAATGCTTGTATGATCTCTCCAATCATCAACCCAAAAGGTTCTGAACATCATTTGACAAACAGTATGAATGCAAAGATGACACGTTGATTCTAAGCTGTGTCATTCTGCAATAATGAGAAAGAAAAAGTGGAAATATGAAAAATAAAAAACATTTGCGGTAAATTTTTGTTTGATGCAAAAATAATTGGACTTTCGGATCGTGAATTTCAAATCATTATAGTTGGATTAAGTATGTTTTTATTCATCAAGATGAGAATCATGACAATCACTAACACTTAGCCAATAAGAAATCAATTTATTCTTGAAAGGTAAAATCCGTAGCTTAAACTTCGACTTATTCCTGGAAGGCACTTTTTGCATCTTGCTAGTTAGGAGAGGTTTTTTCCAGCAAAAAATTGTCGAAATGCTTGAAGAAGTAATATTTGGATAACGAAAGATTGGATGAGCATGACTGGAAAAACGAAATTTCGTGATCCGATTCGTTATACTTTTGCAGCATTAGTTATTCGATATCTGATCTAACGTTCTCGTGATGTAGAATTGAACCTTTTTGTTGATCAATGTCGGCTCTATTGATCGTTGCAATTTTCGGTGTATCGTCGATTTGCTGAGCATACTTCGCAGTAATAGTTTTGCCAAATTTTTTTTAAGCTTTCTGCATTTAACTCAAAATTTCGCAGCTACTTATTCATTTGAAAGTGCACTACACAGAAACTTCAAATATTTCCTAAATGCTATTTTACTAACAACTTTCTGTTATTTACTGCTAGAACAATTGCATTTAAAGAATTCATATGTATGGAAGTGATTAATAAAATAATGACTTAATTACTTCAATTTTACTTTCGTTTTATTCCAACTTCTCTTGCTCGAAGCAAATGAGATAACATGCAATTTGTACTCAATTAACAAAGGTAAAACAAATATAACAATCAGTTTTATTTAATCATAAAAATTTTTTTTCCTTCTCCCTCAACTTCTCCGCTATTTACCACATCGAAAAAAATTCAACTTTCATGATTTTCTGGAAAAAAAAGAAGTTTTAGTTAATTGCTGAGAGCAGAATACCTTAGGAATGACTATTTTACAATTGTCCATATTAAAAATCAATTGGAATTGTTTTCCATTTCTTACAAAAATTTCATTTTTGAATTGAATGACTTTCTTTGGTTTTCCAACAGGAAGTCCCTATTCTATTTGCAGCCGACATTTTGAATTGAGTTTGATTTTATTTCATTCCAAGTAAAACATAAACTTTTTTTTTGCTCTTGCAAAATAAAAATAAATTCATAGTCGTCAATTGCTTGTTTAAAAAACAAAATTAAATAATTAAAATTAAATAGTTCCAGCATATCTAAGCAAATTATCACCATCTTTGGAAAAAAAATTCGTCTGCTACAACTGAGTAATTTCCTCTTCGGAAGATCTTTGTCCACAATATTTTCGATAAATTATATTCTTTCGTTTTCTTTTTGGAAATTAACTAATGAGTTAATTGCTTTATTCTGATTTCTAAATATTTTGCATTTTTTTGACAAATAAGAAAGCAGTTGAAAAAGTAAAAAGATCAGGTCGAAAAAAAAGTGCTTTTGTTTTTAGTACTTAACAAAAAATACTTAAGTTGTTAATCTTATGGTTTCGTAGCAAATAAGGTTTTCATCCTGTTCAAGCTACAATATCATTCCCATTTTCCTTTTGTAAACTACGAAATTATTTTTTTAAATTTAACTTAATCATTTTTAATTTGGAAAAGCAAGTGATTTTGCTTCCCCTTGTTAATTTTCATAATGCATTCAAATCTTGCTTACGTTTATTTTAATATAGCAATCATCAGGTTTACAATCAATGAAACCTGTTTTCAATCCTCATTCACATTCCGAATTGATACGGTAACATGGCTGCTATAATCCTTCCGTAACTAAAATGTATTTCTTTTATAAATAAATTATTGCGCTGCTATTGTTTGTTCTAAGCTCCAAATAAATTTAAATTGTTCATACATATCGGTTCAATTTTTTGTCAAAAATTAGCAAATATTTACAGATTCTCCTTTAGTAATTTTCGAATTTATTGTCTCAGTTC